GGTAACGGGATCGCAACCCTCAGTGTCGCGCCCGTACCGGGGACCGGCAATGGGATCGCAACCCTCGGTGTTGCCCCCGCACCGTGCTCAGCCAGTGAGCGGGAACTGGTCTCCACATGGGATCCGAACCCTCAGCGGGAGCGCCACCGCGCGCCCAAGCGGCGCACTCTCCAGTGAGCCACCGGGCTGGCCCTATAGTTGTCCTTCTACCGTACAAACACAAGCCAACCCATACATTTGCACACCCAAAATGGAGAAATCAAGGGTTCTAGGGCTGGCTGGTTAGCTCAGTTGGTCAGAGCATGGTGCTGAGAACACCAAGGTCCAGGGTTCGATCCCTGTACCGGCCAGCCAAGGGATAAAAAAGGATTCTATGGTTCGAAAACATCAAGAATAACACCACCACCTGCCTCGACTGGATGGCATAATGCCCCTGGAGCCCTCAGAACAGTGCCTGGCACATACCAGCCACTGCAATGTCAGCCATTACCATTATTTCTCTCCCCTACCTCCTAAAATCATAATAAAAGTAAAGAAAAAAGAATACTGCATAGCCTCAGGAAAATGTGCTATAAAAACATTCAGTCTTACTAGGTCAATCCTATGATTATGTATTGAAAAAGATTACACTTTCATGAGGCACCAAAGCCTGTTTTCCCAACTCATCACGAAAATGAGAAACTTTTCAACCTCCTGGCTCTGCAACGACTGTACTTTAGTGGTCCACAAACAGCAGGGAAGGCAGCTCATAAACTCCTCAGTCATGTCATTCATGTCATCCATGCTGTGCAGATCATCTGACAAAAACGGGCATGCGACAGGAGGAGGACAGAGCCTTTTAGTTCTTCCCTTGACTCTGGAATGATCCCTAAATGCATGTAATGGAGCAACGGTCCCAAGAGCACAGCTGCTTGTGGGCCAGCACAAGGAGAACTACCCCCGACTAGGCTAAGTCACCTTGGAGAAGAGCTGAAAGTCAAAGCTCAAATTCCAGGTACCGAGTGTTATCAAGATTTCTTAAAGATAAACAATTCTTTACATAACACACATCCTTTTGCTACCATAAATTCAGTTAGGGAAATAAAGAGACTTTACCAACCAATATTGCCTTTGGACTTAGGCCCCCTTATTTCCTGGAAGATTAGTGACAGAGCTGGCCCACCTATGGCTACAAAGGCTGAGCTGCTATTCTTCCCCACCACTGAGTAACTAGTGGAGGGCTCTTAGTCTAAGGTAGACAAGCCAGGGACCTAGGGTCACACGTGGCTCTTTCCTGTGCCCTAAAGGAACTCAAGAATGCAGAAAAAATATTGATGATAATGCAACTTTACTATTCTCTATCAACAAAAGACAGGATAAGCACGAACAGCCACAGAGCAGCCACGTGGAGTGGCAAGCTCCCTTGCCAGGAGCACTGTACTCCTAGGAAAGCCCCTCAGGTCTTCCCCTCATTTTTAAGATGCAATGTCAAACAAAACGAGGCAAAAAGACTCCAGTTGCCAGGAGGCAAACAATACAAAACCAAAATAGCTGGAGGAAATGTAAATTAGTATATCCTCAATATACATACAGGGCAATGCAGCTGTATCTATCAATACTACAATACATGGATCCTTATTCTGAGCAATTCCATTTCTTGGACTCTTCCTGTAACAGCTTGAACCAAAGTGACTCCACTTTGTTAAACTTCTAAATTTAACAGTTTTTTTTTGCTTACTCTTGTAATCCAAACTGCATAGCTTGCAGCTGGGTATTAGAATACAATGACTCCTGTTCACACTGTACATAAAATAATTATAGAAGAAATTATTAACCCAGATGGCCATTCTTTACTAGCTTACTAACTAGATCTTTTTGAGGTTAACAGGAACTGAATCCGTGACTTGACTTGATGGAGGATGGTCACCATGAATCAGCTCCCACCTGAGAAGTTCTTTGATATTTATCTGCAATTTTATGATTATGCTTGCACGTCTCTGTAGACCACCATGAATCAGCCCTCTACCACCTGTCTCTATAAAACCCTTTGGCAAGGCTGGGAAAAGTGGAGATGGTCCTTGAGACAGAAGTCCACCATTTCCCAGGCTGCCGGCTTCCTGATTATAAGGCTGCCTTTCCTTACACCAACACTTGTCTCTCAATTATTGGCTACTGAGCAGCAAACAGACCTTTGGGGTTTCGGTAACATTCCTACAGATACGCCTGAAACACAGACAACATGGCTTATGTACAAAGATGTTCACAGTAGCACTGTTGTTAACACAAGTCTAGAAACAAACTAATGCACAACTGGTTGAATAAACTGTGGTACATCCATACAACATATTATAAAATACCAAAAGACAAGATAGGAGGGCTGGCCGGTTAGCTCATTTGGTAGAGCACAGTGCTGATAACACCAAGGTCAAGGGTTTGGATTCCAAACAGGCCAGCCGCCAAAAAAAAAAAAAAAGAACACAGACTCACTCACGTGGTATTCCTTCCAAAAATGAATCATCATAGTTAAATATCTGACAAACTCATATTGAGAGACATTTGACAAAATAACCAGCAAAATATCAAAGTCTTCAAAAGTGCTGACAAGGAAAGACTGAGGAACTGTTCCAGACTGAAGAAGACTGAACAGAGACAATGGCTAAATGCTCCGTGAGATTCTGAACTAGTTCCGTCTGCTGCAGAGAACATTACTGGAAAAATGGGCAGAACTTGAACAGAGTCTGTTGTAAGGGTGAGGTGTTTAAGTGTTAATATCCTGATTCTGACAGCTGCATTGTGGTTATGTGAGAGAAAGTCCGCATCTGTAGGAATCACACACTAAAGTATTTGGAGGTAGTGAGGCATCGGGTTGGCAACTTACTCCAAAATGGTTGCACCATACATACAAGTTTCCTGTAAGTTTGTGACTGTTTCAAACTAAGAATTTTCCAAAGATGAGGTAGCTCTTAATGTACTGATATAGAATGTTGTTCTATTTTTAAAACTTAAGCACAGAATGTACTACAGACTCCTTTTATGTCAAAATTAAGAAATATATATAAGCAATTGCTTAAATATGCATAAAGTCTCTGAAAAAATACCCAAAAAACTAATAACACCAGCTGTCTCCAGGGAAGGAAACTGGGTGGTTGAGGTCACAGGGAGATGTCATTATATACCCTTTGAAACTTGACCCATGTAGATATTTGTTGTGTAAGAAAAATTTAGATTAAAAAAATTAAAATTATCTCTTTTTTGGTTTTGAGGATCACTTGAATAATGGAGCCTAAGTTTGTATACACATATAAACAATATGGAGGAATAAATAAATGTTTAAGGTACTTAGATCAAAAAAATGGGGAGTGCGGGCTAGCTCAGTTGCTTATAGCACAGTGTTACAACACCAAAGTCAAGGGTGTGGATCCCCACTCCCCATACTGGCCAGCCACAAAAAGAATGGGGAGTGGATGAGAAGGGCTGGATAATTTTTAATTTTTGGTACACATTTCTATAATACCTGTATTTTTAGACATGAACATTATATTTTTATAATCAGAAAAAAGTATTAAAAATAAACAAAAATAGGGGCCAGCCCGTGGCTCACTTGGGAGAGTGTGGTACTGATAACACCAAGGCCACGGGTTCGGATCTCTATATAGGGATGGCTGTTTAGCTCACTTGGGAGAGCGTGGTGCTGACAACACCAAGTCAAGGGTTAAGATCCCCTTACTGGTCATCTTTAAAAAAGAAAAAAAAAAAAAAACACAAACAAAAAAAGTATTAAAAATAAAACCACTTAGTATTTACTAGTAACACTATATAAGGGATTCTGTTATATTTGCATACATGTTACCTACTCCATGACCCTGTCATTCTCGATCTCCTTCAGACCCAGCTTTCTCAATCCCCTCAATGGGGGCTAAGAATAGCTGCCACGTAGGATTTAAAGATTAAAAATGATACATATGAGGTGGATGGCACACTGCTGGCACTCAGTGCCGTTTTCATTACCAAACGGTCTCAGGAATCAAAGTTGATCAGGACATGAGGGTCTGGATTCTTCAAAGACAAAGATGCCCAACTGCCCCATTCCCCGTGAAACGATGAGAAAGGAGATAACCCCACTAGGAAGTTCGCACTCAGGCAGGCCAAGGCTAGGATTCCTCCAGGGTCAACCCTCCTGCCTTAATGGAAGGAATGGTGATGCCATCTAAAATAGAGATAGGCTAGAAACGGGCCACTGTATAAAATAAAATGCAGCACAAAAACTTTTCTCGATAGGTGTGAACCAAGAGCAGCTATCCAATGCAATTAACAACAAGAAGCTTTTCAGCAGAGTTCAGCTGACAGACACACTGGCCTAGGTTCACTACATACAGAGGTAAGAGGGTAAGATATTTTGCCCTTGAGGTATTTAAAGCTCAGAAAAGATAGTCAAGTAAACTGAAAACAGTATACTACAACAAACAGGGTAGGAATTCCAGAAGACTATAATTGTACTTTCGGAAGCATTTAGTTTAACATGCAAATAAATTCATAATTTATAAACCTCTGAATAATTGTTCATATGAAAAGATAATTACACGGGCTGGCCCGTGGCTCACTCGGGAGAGTGCGGTGCTGACAACACCAAGGCCCCGGGTTCGGATCCCATATAGGGATGGCCGGTTGGCTCACTGGGTGAGCGTGGTGCTGACAACACCAAGTCAAGGGTTAAGATCCCCTTACCGGTCATCTTTTTAAAAAAAAAAAGAAAAAAAAAAAAAAAGAAAAGATAATTACAGGCCGGCCCGTGGCTCACTCGGTAGAGTGCGGTGCTGATAACACCAAGGCCACGGGTTCGGATCCTATATAGGGATGGCCGGTTTGCTCACTGGCTGAGTGTGGTGCTGACAACACCAAGCCAAGGGTTGAGATCCCCTTACCGGTCATCTTTAAAAAAAAAAAAAAAAAGAAAGAAAAGATAATTACATCATTAAGGATTTCAGAGGAAAAGGGATACATAAAGTAGTGCTAACTCTTACCTGGGTATTGTCTGTATAATGAAAATATCTTGGCCACGAACAGATTCTTTTATTTCAACTCTTGTTTCTGAAAAATAAAAATGTCCTAAAGTTTTTTTAAAAAGCACTTCCTGATGTAATAACTAAATAGCATTTGGAGAGAGTAAAGATGAATAAAATAAGTCACTTGGTGCAACAAAATAAATCTTAACAGATTTCAGAATGATATGGACATCTATTAAAAAAATAGTCAAGCTAGAAGGAAAATAAGCCAAAAAAAGAAGACAAAACTATCCAACAGGTCTACAGGGTCCATTAAACACACACACACACACACACACACACACACACACACACACACACATTAAACACACACACACACACACATTAAACACACACACACACACACCCAAAAAACAAACAAAAACCATAAACACCACGCATGGGAAGTGTCTATGGCAAATAAAGAGGTCAAAGGTTAACATCCATATGATCCTTTCAACAAATGCTGAGGCCTCCTCTGTGCCAGGCCCTGTGCTGGGGCCCCCAAGAGGAAAATCTCAACCAAGGCGATAAAAGCTGACCCAGAAGAGACAATTCAATACCAAAGGGCAACAGACAACTCTCTAGGCTCAATGTGCCAGAGCCAGACCAGCCGTGAGGAAGGAGAAAGAATAATGGGGCAGGAACAATGGGCTCACTGCAAGCTGGAACATGCAGTGAGGAAAGGAGCATGGGAACAGAGGAAGGAGTGGCGGCAGAGTGTGCCAAGCAGAGGGGTGGTCAGTTCACTTGGAACCATTGGGGAAGTAGAGTGAATGAAAGAGGCAGACAGGGGGCTGGCCAGTTAGCTCACTTGATTAGATGGTATTGCTAATAACACCAAGGTCAAGGCCAGCAATAAAAAAAAACCAAAAAAGAGCAGACAGGAGGTCAGGGAGCCAATAGATGCCAGACCACACGTGACTCTGGACTTTACTTATTTATTTTTTAAAAGGTGACCGGTAGGGCCGGCCCCGTGGCACACTCGGGAGAGTTTGGCGCTGGGAGCGCAGTGGCGCTCCCGCCGCAGGTTCGGATCCTATATAGGGATGGCCGGTGCACTCACTGGCTGAGCACAGTGTGGACGACACCAAGCCAAGGGTTGCGATTCCCATACCGGTCACGAAAAAGTCATACATACATACATACATACATACATACGTACGTACATACACACATACACACACATACATACACACACATACATACATACACACACATACATACACACACATACATATACACACATACACACGTACACACATACATACGTACATACACACATACATACACACACATACACGCATACATACATACACACACGTACACACACATACACACACACATACATACACACACACATACATACACACACGTACACACACATACACACACACATACATACACACACACATACATACACACACACACATACATACACACACATACATACATACCCACACATACATACATACACACATACATACATACCCACACATACATACATACACACATACATACACACACACATACATACACACACACATACACACACACACATACATACACACATACATACATACACACATACACACACACACATACATACACACATACACACATACACATACATACATACACACACATACACACATACACACACACATACATACATACATACATACATACAATAAAATAAAAATAAATAAATAAAAGGTGACCAGTAAGGGGATCCTAACCCTTGCCTTGGTGTTGTCAGCACCACACTCTCCCAAGTGAGCTACAGGGCCGGCCCTTGGACTTTATCTCTTATTCTGTAAGGAGTTTGGATTTTATTCTAAGTGTAATAGGAAAGGAAAGCCACTGGTAGATTTGAGGTTGGGAAGGATTTGGTCCACTTCTTTTAAAAAAACTGCTGGCTGGCTGGCCAGTTAACTCAGTTGATCAGGGTGGGTGCTGATAACACCAGGGTTTAGGGTTCAATCCCTGTTACTGGCCAGCCACCAAAAACAAAACAACAGCAACACAACAAAAATGAACGCTTGCTGCTCTGTCAAGAAAACTGGGTTAGGGCAAGAGTGGCACCAGGGAGGCTATTCCAGCTGCTTTTGAAGGCGCCCAGCAAATGGCAGGCTGTCCTGGAGTGGCAGCAGCAGAGGCAGTGAGAAGGGGTTGGACCTAAGAGGTATTCCAAAGTCAGAGCACACAAGCCATGGAGATGGATGGATGTAAGTGAAGACAGACAACTGAGTGGGCAGAACCTGGATCCCAAAGAGCCCCACGTGATTATTAAGGAGAATGGACTACAACATATAGGGTAGAAGCAGAAGAAGTAAAAAATATTTGCATCTTAGAAACATCCCAGAGGAGGTGAGTAGAACAGACTAGAAAGGCTAGAAATGGAGGCAGGAAGACCTCAAGAGAAAGCAACAGCTCAAAAGAGAGATAAGCAGCAGTGATGGAAGACTAGAGAAAAGGGTCTTCATTAAACCATTTTCTCCATTTCATAAGATCCCCAAATGCATCACTATGAATTAAATCGGTGACTGCCAAATAGAGTACTTTACCTATCTGCATTAACCTTCAGGTTTTAAATACTAACATCTCCTGATTCTCCCCGGGAAACTGATAAAATTTCTTTTTTTTTTTTTTTTTTTTTTTTTTTTTTTTTGTCTTTTTTCGTGTCCGGCAACGGACCGCAACCCTCAGTGTCGCGCCCGTACCGGACTGGAACCAGCAACGGGATCGCAACCCTCAGTGCTGCGCCCGCCCCTCGCTCAGCCAGTGAGCGGGAACCGGTCTGTATGTGGGATCCGAACCCTCGGCGGGAGCGCCACCGCGAACTGTAGCAGTGAGCCACCAGGCAGGCCCCGAAACTGATAAAATTTCTAAAGTCACAAAGTAAAAAGTCACTAAGTGTGGAGGCTGGATGAAAGATACTTGGGGTTAATTATTCACACATGCTGGGAATGTGTGAATTCCATTCAACTATCTACTAAATTATCTGTCCCTTCTTGAGTACTTTGCTTTTTTTAGATCCCCAAACATCATTATGTCTTAGTAATTCATCCCCTCAAGCTACTTAGATGGTTATAACTTTGAAAAAGAAAAGGAAACATAAAATCATGAACCTACGTTTTCAATTCTGCAAAAATAAATGCAAGTTACTTTACATTAATTTGCCTTCACAAAGAATAAGGGCACTATAATCTGAAGTATATGGCCCCACTAGGAGATTTATAATGGAGAGTTCCCAGGACACTGGTCATCAGGAAAGCTCCGCTAAGCATCATCAGTTAATGTTATAATACAGTTCTCCACACAACCCAGAGGGCAACAAAAATGGGTTACCAACCGATTTTTGGTTATTAGGGTAAGAGTCTACAAGAGACTTGAGATGGAGAGAATTGAAAGAGGATTTTTAGAATAAATTATCACTATCTAGTGTCAGACTGCTCTTGATGCCATTTGAGGACCTAGTGAGACAGATAAATATTTATCAAATACAAACCAATGTAGAAGAAAAACTATTTTATACATCTCTCCTTTTTCATTCTAAAATGACAGGATATTTGTATCATTGTGGAAAGGGGAAAAAAGACGCTAAGGAGAAAAGAAAATTTAAAGTGAAGTACAGAATGATGACGTGTGCCTCTAACACTAAAGAGAAAACGTTTCCGCATTAAACATGTGTAATATTTGCCTTTTAGAAACACACCAGCTAGGGCCGGCCCGTGGCTCACTTGGGAGAGTGCGGTGCTGATAACACCAAGGCCACGGGTTCGGATCCCATATAGGGATGGCCGGTTCGCTCCCCTGGGAGAGCGTGGTGCTGACAATACCAAGTCAAGGGTTAAGATCCCCTTACCGGTCATCTTTAAAAAAAAAATCAACATAAAAAATTAAAAAGCAAATAAAAGGGGCCGGCCCGGTGGCACACTGGATAGTGTGCCACTTGGGAAGCGCGGCGGCGCTCCCGCCCGAGGGTTCGGATCCCACATACAGACCGGTTCCCGCTCACTGGCTGAGCGAGGAGCGGTAGCAACACTGAGGGTTGCGATCCGTTGCCGGACGCGGAAAAAGACAAAAGACAAAAAAAAAAAAAAAAAAAAAAAAAAAAAAAAACAAATAAAAGCACACCAGCTGACTAAACAGTTTCAAGAAGAAAGGGGGTTTAAAGAATACTTTTAACCTACCTCCGTTGGTCTCTTGGTATACAACAGACTTCCCCAATTCAGCACCAAGACGCCTACAAGCAAAAAAAAAAAAGCAATTAAAAATTCTTTTTGAAAAATTTCAGTTCATATGCACATGTTTAACAAAAAGACTCAAATAACTAGACTGGCACTCTTTCCAAAAAAACAATTTAGAAAGTCTAATTCACTAAGGACTAAAATTCTGACATCAGTCCATAAGTAGCTCACCATTTTGTGACACACTGTTTTACTGGAAAGAGCTCATAACCAAAGTTTAATGTCTGGTTCATTGTTTTTTGAATAGTTGTCTTGGAAAATCATTTCCAAATACTTGGTTACTAGCAATAATTCTAAAAACATAAGCCACAGGTAAATGCCTCAATTGTCAAAAGAATATAGATGAAAAGAGACTTCGGTAGGGCCGGCCTGTGGCTCACTCGGTAGAGTGCGGTGCTGATAACACCAAGGCCACGGGTTCAGATCCCTATACAGGGATGGCCGGTTAGCTCACTTGGGAGAGCGTGGTGCTGACAACACCAAGTCAAGTTAAGATCCCCTTACCAGTCATCTTTTTAAAAAAAAAAAAAAAGGAAAGAGACTTTAGTGCCATTAACCAAATATAATTGTGTGGATCTTGTTTTGATCCTGGTTATAATAAGCCAAGTATAAAAAGCCATTTTTCAAACTAGCAAAATATGAACATGGGTTAGTTATTACATAATAATAAGGAATCAGTGGTGGTATAAGTTTTTTTAAGTCCTTATCAGTTAGCATTACCATTTTTATAAGTGAAATAATAGGATCTAATCTACGTGTATGTTGTCAAATGACTGGATAAGGAAAGTATGGAATACATACACAACGGAATACTACTCTGCCATAAAAAAGAATGAGGTACTGCCATTCACAGCAACATGGATGAACTCAGAGAAAATCATGTTAAGTGAAATAAGTCAGGCACATAAAGAGAAATACCACATGTCCTCACTCATAAGTGGGAGCTAAAAAATAAACATATTAATTAAAAAATAAATAGAAAGAAAGAACAATCACAAGAATACGTTGAATTTTCAAAAGGAGAACTGAGGTTACCAGAGGTGGGAAAGGTGTGGGGGAAGGGAGGAATTGGTGAAGGGCCACGAAAAATGACAACATTGTACATTGTTGAATATATTAATTGTCCTGATTTGAGCATCACATATTGCACACAGGTATTGATATCCAACACTGTACTCCACAGATATGTACAATCAACCATGTTACCAAAAAAAAAAAGAAAGAAAGAAATAATATGATCTAAGGGTGGAATGTATTTAAAAATATTCTAGCCAGGTATATACATGTAATGGAATGTTGTTCAGCCTTAAAAAGGAATGAAATTCTGGTATGTGCCACAACGTGGATGAACCTTGAATAAATTATGCTGAGTAAAATAAGCCAGCCATGTATCATTCCATTTGTATAAGGTACTTAGAATAGGAAAACCCATAAAGACAGAAAGTAGAATAGAGGTTACCAGGGGTTAGGGAGAGGGGAGAATGGAGAGTTAGTGGATTTTTTTTTTTTTTTTTTTTTTAAAAAGATGACCGGTAAGGGGATCTCAACCCTTGGCTTGGTGTTATCAGCACCGCACTCAACCGAGTGAGCCACGGGCCGGCCTAGAGAGAGAGTTAGTGCTTAATGAGTACAGAGTTTCTGTTTGGGATGATGAAAAAGTTCTGGAAATAAATAGTGGTGAGAGGTGCACAACATAGTGAATGTACTTAATGACACTGAATTGTACACTTAAAAAATGGTTAAATGGTAAATCTTATGTTAAGTGTATTTTACCATAATAAAAAAAAAAAAAAATATTCCAGCCAAACAAAAAAGTGCAGGATAAGGCCAGCCCGTGGCTCACTCGGGAGAGTGCGGTGCTGATAACACCAAGGCCACAGGTTCGGATCCTATATAGGGGTGGCCGGTTAGCTCACTGGCTGAGCATGGTGCTGACAACACCAGGCCAAGGGTTGAGATCCCCTTACCAGTCATCTCTATATAGGAAGAAAAAAAAAAAAAAAAAGTGCAGGATAGGTAGAGTAGGTGAAACAAAAGATTAGCAAAAAGCTGCTAAGTGTGGAAGTGGGATGAAAGATACCTGGAGGCTAATTGCAGCACACATGTAACTTACACATATCCTGGAAAGGTAATGTACCCAACACTTTCGCTTAAAGTACATAATCGAAATTTTAAAAATGAAGTACATAATCAAAAAAGTTTGAAGATCCTTGCTTGAAGTTTAGAGCTGAAAGGAACCATGGAAATAAAATACCGTGATCTCAGGGGTCATCTAATCTAATGATTTTCAAACTCTGTTTAGTGGTAAAACCTCTTTCTGAATTAAAATCTTACTAAGAAACTCAACATATAGGGCCAGCCCGGTGGCGCACTGCTACAGTGCACTGCTTGGGAGCGCGGCGGGAGCCGCCGAGGGTTCGGATCCCACATACAGACCAGCCGCTCACTGGCTGAGTGAGGTGCGGGCGCAACACCGAGGGCTGCGATCCCGTTGCCGGTCCCGGTCCAGTACGGGCACGACACTGAGGGTTGTGATCCGTTGCCGGTCACAAAAAAAGACAAAAAAGAAAAAAAAAAAAAAAGAAACTCAACATATAAAACATAAGGGATGCACAAATATTTATTATTTACAGAAACTTAAAACCTTTCTGGAACTTGGCAGGGAAGAACCTAATATAAAAACCAAAAACCAGGGCCGGCCCGTGGCTCACTCGGGAGAGTGCGGTGCTGATAACACCAAGGCCATGGGTTCGGATCTCACATAGGGATGGCCGGTTCGCTCACTGGCTGAGCGTGGTGCTGACAACACCAAGTCAAGGGTTAAGATCCCCTTACCGGTCATCTTTTAAAAAAAAAAAAAAAAAAAAAAAAAAAAACCAAAAACCAAAAACCATTGACTTTTAAATGTGTCCTTTAAATGTGCTCCCTTCCGTTTTCTCTCAGCAAGGTCATATGTGGTCAATAAAAACAAACACAAGCTTCATATTTAAAGTTAGTATTTTAGTTGGCCTCAAAAAGAAAGACAAATAACCAGGGGTTAGAAATAGAAAGTAGGTAGTAAACTGCAAAAGGATTTTTTGTTTGTTTTTTTACACTTTTCTAATTTCACTTAAAACTCCAAATGAAAACAGGCATAAGGGCCAGCCCGTGGCTCACTTGGGAGAGTGTGGTGCTGAGAACACCAAGTCAAGGGTTAAGATCCCCTTACCGGTCATCTTTCCAAAAAAAAAAAAAAAAAAAAAAGAAAAGAAAAAAGAAAACAGGCATAGCTGAAAATTTTGACTAAAGTTTCCCTTTTCTTCTACACTTCCATCTAGAATTTTTATTATTTTATTTTTATTTATTTATTATTTGGCAGCTACTGGGATCCAACCCAGGACCCTGGTGTTATCAGCACCACACTCTAACCAACCGTCCATCTAGAATTTTTAAATATATTCATGCAATTATTTATCAACCTGAAAAATTCAGAGCAACTCTAACGTATACTGTTTAAAATGTGAAAACGAAGAGCTGGCCTGTTAGCTCTGTTGGTTAGAGCACGGTGCTGATAACACCAAGGTCCAGGGTTCAATCCCTGTTCGGGAGCTGCCAAAAACAAACAAAAAAGTGAAAATGACTTAAAAAGTCAAAGGACAAGCTACTTATTTTATGTCTTATATTTCTGACAAGTTTATTTGGAAAGAGCCCACAAGTCTCTCCCTTTATATTAGGTAGAACTCTGTCATTCTCCAAAAAAGCCAACTAGAAAGGAGGCCATTTAGTAAACAGGTACTATACAGAGGGCCACTATGAGCCCCCGCTCTGCTAGACACCCTACCTACCTACATTATCTCGGTCATGCTCACATGATCCTTACCCAATAGACAGAATCATCCCCATTTTACAAATGAAGTTTAGGAAAATCAAGTCTCTTGCCCAGTGTCCCAGAGCTAATAAGTGGCAAGAGTGGGAAAGCATCCAGAGAGCTGTCAGACCCCAAAAGCCACTTGGGATCACAAGCTTCCCTGGGTTAAAAAGACAAAGAAAAGCAATGACTTTCCTTCAAGTGACTGATCCAATCTAAAGATACTCGAAACACGGTCAGGCCTAGAGTCTCTATCACCAACCCCGACCATGCTGCGGCCCAGGAGCTGCCCTTCCCCACACCCTTGCTCGGTTGCCGGGTCCTCCCCTCGGAACTACATCCGCCTATCTCGTTAAGGAGACTCGGGAATGGCCACGGCCAGATTCAAAGGTCAGCTCCAACCGTGGGAACGGGGCCAACCGAGAGCCCCTTTCCGAGTCATGCACGCCAGGGGTGGCAGAGTGCTCACCACCGCCCTGGGACGCGGGAGTGGGGACACGAAAGGAAGGACAGCGGTCCTAGGAGTGGGGGCTTAAGTCGCCAAGAGTCCGCCGAAAGCTTCTCAGCTGCAAAACCGGGGGGTGGGGGGTGGGGGTGGTTCTGTCCCCTCCGAGGGTTTGCTCAGCTCCGAAACGGTGAGGCTCTGCGACCCCGTCCCCGGGTGCAGGAGAGCGGGGCCACACAACCCCCCGGGCGGAGGCTGAGGAGCAGAGTTGCCAGAACGACCCCTGGAGAGGGGTTCCCGGGGGCGTGCCGGGCGCGGAGCCCGCCGTTCCCCGCCCGGGCCCTCC